TCACAATATTTGCTTTATTCTAGCAATCTGGAACCAAAACCACACCATCTCCAAGGTATGCCTCTATACCATAGCTTATCATGTATCTCTCAGCTCAGTGCCTCACCATATAAAGCAGCCAGTCAATTAATCTATCTAATAGGTATTCACTGAGCACCAATCAAATTCGGGTTTTCTCCAGAAATTATTAAAAACCAATTTCCCCATTTTCCTCACTTCTAGTATAACTGGTATTCTTTGAAAGTTTTTTTTTTTTTTTTTTTTTGCGTATATGTCACCATCTTTGATGACTATTTAAAACTCACTCACCTTTGAGTATTTACTACAACTTCTTAAGTCCTAGAAGTTAAAATTTCAATATGGAAATTATCATCTTCTCACTTTATTTTTAAATGTACTTGTAGTATCCTTCGTTCAAATTACATAAAAGTAACACATATTTTATACTCATACATCACAAATAAAAACGAGTTTAATGAATTTATAGCTGAAAGGCATTTAGAAATTTCACTTAGTTAATATGTCCCACATAAACAGAACTGTATGAGCATGGGGTTTTCACTAAGCTATTTTTAAATGAAGGTATGCACACTGTATTTTTTTTTAGACATAATGCTTTTGTACAAGTAATAGATATAGTACAGTGTGAATATAACTTTTAGATGCATTGGGAACCAAAAAATTCATGTGACGTGTTTTAATGCAATATGTACTAGCTTTATTATGGTAGTATGGAACTGAACCTACAATATCTTTAAGATATGCCTGCAAAATGGAGCATTTTATCAAAATACTGTGAAATTAAATAAAGGAAAACTCATCTAAAATGGAGGCAGAAGGCCAGAAAAAGGAGCTCTCATAATTTACCACTTGTCTTCAACTGCAGACAAGTAGAAAAGTATTCCCAATAGAAAGAAGCTCATAATATTTCACTACAAGAGCAGGAGGAAAAAAAAAGATTTTTTTCCTTGCCCAGGAACAGCCCAACCAGTGAGAGACTCTCACAACTTAGCCAATGAAAAACCATTTCAAACTCCAAGTTTACTCCAATGGACTTTAAAAGAGCTCCCCCAACTCTTCCCTCCAGCTATAAAAGAGTATTCCTCTCCATTGTTCTTGGACTTGACTATGGTTGTGCCTAGTCTCCAAGTCCCAAACTGAAATTCTCTGCTATTTCCAGATAAACCCATCTTCCTGGTAAAATAACTGGATGCTTACTTTTAAGGTTAACGTAATATAAATAAGGAACTAGGCCCACAGAGAGACAGACATCTTCAATCAACAAAATTAGAAATTGAAACAGCAGTTTAACCCAGGCAACATCAAAAGACTCCAGGGCTATCCAGGCCTTTGGGCTTCTTATACAAAATGATAAAGGAAAAAGTAATCACCACCTCATGTAAACTTTTTTAAATTATACAAAAACTCGGGAGTATTCAACCACTAAAAATAGGCTACCTCTTTTTGATACAAAGACCAGGTGAGAATCCCTCAATAAAATAACACTAAAGCCAAGCTCACTTCATAGAGACAAATATCCTAAATAAATTCATAGTATTTCCAATATAGCAGTGAATTAACATTAGAAAATGCATTCCAAATGGAAATCACTATCATAGCAAAAAAAAAAAAAAAAAGAGGGGAAAAGGATGGGACTATGTGCAAGGGTAAAGAAAAAGCTTTTGACAAAATAAATAAATAACACTTGCTGATGATAATAAGTTTTGGAAAGCTTGCATTACAAAAGAATTTCCATGCTTCCTTTGGCACCAAATACAGTAAAATTGGAACGATACAGAGAAGACTAGCATGGCCCCTGTGCAAGGATGACATGCAAATTTTGTTCCATATCGGAAAAAAAATAAAAAGAGAGAGAGAGAGGGAAAGAAAGAAAGAAAGAAAGAAAGAAGAATTTCCATTTTCTAAAATCTATAATGAATATACTAAATGGGAACTACTGCAAATATATCTAATAGGTTTGACAAGAAAACAAAGACATATGATATCAAATCCACTGTCTACAACTGGATGAAAATACATACACATTACACAACTATTAGACAAGAATATGAATACCAAAGTAAATAAAAGGAAAGAATAATGAAAAGAAAGAGGTAAAAATGGTGGCAACATGATATCTTAATTAAAAAGTTCCAAGTAATTGGTACAGAAATTATTAAGACACATAAACAGCTTCAGAAAGATGTTGTATAAAGAAATCAACACAGCAAATTAAGGAATCTGACAAAACAAAGTCACTAACAAATTACAACATGTAATGGAAGATATATTACTGAAAACAATAATATCCAAGATATACTTAATACAAAACCAAAAAGACATCTACAGTTTCTTTAGGAGATAACTACAAAAACATACTGATAGGCAAACACAAATCAAAACCACAATAAGATACTACCTTACATCAGTCAGAATGGCTAAAATTAACAACACAGGAAACAACAGATAGTGGTGAGGATGCAGAGAAAGGAGAATCCTCTTACACTGTTGGTGGGAATGCAAACAGATGCAAACACTCTGGAAAATAGTATGGCAGTTCCTCAAAGAGTTAAAAAAAGAACTACCCTACAACCTGACATTTATCCAAAGGGTACAAGAATATTGATTTGAAGGGCCAGCAACATCCACAATAGCCAAAATATGGAAAGAGCCCAGATGTCCACCAACAGACAAATGGGTAAAGAAGTGGTGGTATATATATATACAATGGAATATTACTCAGGCATCAGAATGAAATCTTGCCACTTTCAATGACGTGACTGGAACTAGAGTGCATTATGCTAAGTGAAATATGTTAGTCAGAGAAACACAAATACCATATGATTTCACTCATATGTGGAATTCAAGAAACAAAACAGATGAACACAGGGGAAGGGAAGAAAAAATAAAAGAAGATGAAAACAGACAGCGAGACAAACCATGAGAGGATCTTTATACAGGACGCAAACTGATGGTTGCTGGAGGGGAGGTGGGTAGGGGAATGGGCATTAAGAAGGTCACATTATGGAATGAGCACTGGGTGTTATATGCAACTGATGAATCACTAAACTCTACCTCTGACACTAATAATACATTGTATGCTGAACTGAATTTAAATAAAAAAAATTAAAAAACTTACTGAAAGGGACACCTGGGTGGTACAGTCGGTTAAGCATCTGTCTTTGGCTCAGGTCAGGATCCCAGGATCTTGGGATCGAGGCCTTCATCTGGCTCCCTGCTCAGAGAGAAGACTGCTTCTCCCTTTCCCACTCACCCTGCTTGTGTTCCTTCTCTCGCTGTGTCTCTGTAAAATAAATAAATAAAATCTTTTAAAAAAATGTATGGGTTGTTTGTAGCAGTGTGACTCTGCAAGCTGTGCTAATAACCAATTGAAAATTTGCCTCTGAAAGTGGACTGGGCTTCATTAACATCTCAATAGAACAAAAGGTACAAGGTACGAACTATTTAGACTAGCAAGTATCACAACAATTATACATAAGGATGGAAATTCATTCCAGAATCTTGGAGCAATGAGAATGATGTCAACTAAAAGAAGCCCCAGGAAGGTGGTCAGGTTTAGGAGCACCCCACTTTCCCATGGGATTTCTAAGGCCTTGATGGGGGTATGGGGAGGTATGAAGTGAGAAAAGGAAGGAACTCCGGACCTGCTAACTCTCTGCAAGTTCCCTGAATGAAACCTGAAGGGTTCATCCACCCAGAAAAGGGATCCCATGGGATTCTTACCCTATGACAGTCATGTCTGGGAAGCCTCAGGCAGGAGCTGTGTGATGAGGTGTACCTTGAATTCCTATCAGAAGGCTCACAGATTTGAAGTCTTTGGTGTGAAGAGTTGGCCTTAGGTCAGCTGATTGGAGGAGCCAAGGACCTTTTAGGAGTATAGTGAGACACTGAGAGAGTAATGAGGTATGCACCCCCCACATAAGTGGGGCCCAAGAGTCCCATATGTGGAGGGCTCCAACAACGCAGCTAAGCTCAGGCACCCAAATACTTCCTAATGGAGGTAGGGAACAGAATGAGACCCTTCCTTGGTCTGAGAACAACAGGCTGAGAAGAATCAGTGAAAGCCCCTGTGTGAGCGCTGTGAGACTCCTCCCCCTACAATCCAGCACACCACACACTACCTCCATCACTCCCTACCCCGCCCAAAGAGCCCTGCCCACAGAGCCCCGCCCACAGAGCCCGCCTCCACCCTCCAGGGTCCTCCTCCTGGGGGGCCCAGACCCACATGACCGGAAGTGGACCTCCTGGCCCTCGAGAACTTCCTCCGGACCACGCCGTGGGTAGTGAGGCCTTGTCGGACAGCTCTTGCCTAGGGTAAGCCCAAACTGGGGACCTGTATACTGTTAGGGGTCGATGTGCAAGGAGTTCCGGGTTACAACTTTGAGGACACACCTTCGACAACCCCCCAGCCCCAACTCCCCCGAAAAGAGAGGTGCAACAGGCCCTGCCCCGCTCCACCCATGCTCTCGGGGCTCGGAGGCCCCAACATGGCGGTTAAGCCCCAGGTCCCTTCACTTACCTCGCGGGGTCTCGGGGATTGCAGGCCTTGTCGCGGGACTGCTGGACTCTGGCTCAGCTCAGCACAGGCAGAGACCCCCAGGCCTACTGGTGGGAAGGAAATGGCCTTTGAGACGATTGAGGGGAATCCATACCCTAGAACACAGGCCACGCGCAATCCCCCGTCCTGGCCTTGGCCTGGGAGGGTCCGGGCTGGTCAGGAACACTGCCGTCACCCTGGTAACGCCCAGGCAGGGCTGGCTGGCTGGGGCCCAAGGCTCACACCACCTTCCTCCTCAGGGCCCAGGCTGACCAGGGTAACGGGAGCCCTGTGGGGTCCTAGAGCAGTGCCCTGAGGGACCCTGCAGGGGCAGCCGTGGGCAAAGCCAGGGTGGGACCTCTCCACTGAAGGGGCTCCCCCCACTTCACTGTCCCCTCTCTCCAGGTGCCTTCGCTGCCTGCCAGCCCTGACCAGTGTCACCATGCCTCGGCGCCCGAAGAACAAGGCCCGTGCCCGGGAGAAACGCCGCGGTGAGGCTCAGGGTGTCGGGGGTGCTCCTGCTGCTGTAGCAGCAGCAGCAGAGGAGCCCCCCCGCGCTCCCCCGGGCTCCCCGGAGGAGGCGGGTCCATCTTCACCACCCGAAGGTGGCCCGGCCCCTGGGTCTCCTGGCACAGGGTCCCCAGGCCTGCCAGGCGACCAGGGCGCCGAGAACCCGGCCGCGGCTGCGGCCCCGGCCGCCCCTCTGGCCATTCGCAAAACGCCCCTGATCCGCAAGGCCAGCATGCTGGTGCAGTTCCTGCTGGAGAAGCACAGCTCCGGGGAGCCCCTGATGCGCGTGGCGCTGCTGAAGATCATCGGCAGGAAGTACCGCGAGCACTTCCCCGAGATCTTCAGGCTCACCTCCCAGCGCATGGAGCTGGTCTTCGGGCTGGAGGTCCGGGAGGCCGACGACCGCGGCCAGTCCTACACGCTGGTCAGCAAGCTGGCCCAACCCGGCGAGGGCACCCTGGGCGGCGGCAGCAAGGGGCTGCCCAAGTCCGGCCTCCTGATGGCGCTCCTGGGCGTGATCTTCATGAAGGGCAACCGCGCCAGCGAGGAGGAGGTCTGGGAGTTCCTCAACGTGCTGGGCGTGCAGGAGGGCAAGAGGCACCTGGTCTTCGGTGAGCCGCGCAAGCTCATCACCCGAGACCTGGTGCGCCAGGGCTACCTGGAGTACCGCCCGGTGCCCGCCAGCGACCCTCTGCGCCACGAGTTCCTGTGGGGCCCGAAGGCCCGCGCGGAGACCAGCAAGATGCAGGTGCTGCAGGTCATGGCCAAGATCAACGACACGGTGCCCAGCTCTTACCCCCAGCTGTACGAGGAGGCTCTGCTAGACGAGGAGGAGCGCGTGGGGGCCAGACCCCAGGCCAGGGGGTCTGCCGCGAAGGGGGCCCGTAGCAGGCGCCGCGTCTAGTCAGGCAGTCGGGGCGGCTGCTTTTCCCTGGGGTGGAAGAGGGCACCTTCCCAGTAGAGCAGAGCCCTAGGGATCGGAGGGAAAAAAAGCATAGATGTTCCTCCTGTTTGCTCTAAACTGTTAGCTTCTATAAACATATATAGTTATACTTATTGAGTTGTTCTCAAATGTGTTTTTTCTTGTAATAGGTCATTTAGCTCTAGAAGATAAACTTAAGAATGGCATGGATCTCATTTATTGCTGTCTCACAAGGGAGAGTTATAGGTTTGGTATATGAAAACGAAAGTCACAAACCATCTATACTATATTTATGATCCAAAAGCAGATAACAAGGAGCATTGATTTTTTTTTTTCCTGTTGCACATAAGTAATCTGTAGGTCTATTTTTTCTTTAAGTGTTCAAATGTTGTTTGTTTTAATGGAATATTTTGCATCTGAATCTAAGTTTATTAATGCCATAGATAACACATTTATTACTATTCAGGTTTCAAAGTAAGAGATTTGTTTTTGTAAACAAGCTGAAAAACCTATAGTATTTTCTTTTTGCTACAGAGCAAGGTAACATGTTACTGGAATTGGGTTTTTCATGGGAATGTGAAAGAACATCATAAGAAAATACTTGGGATCAAAAATTGGTGACAAATAAGTAACCATTCTCTTTGTCTTTACTTTTAAAGTTAAATAATATATACCTGGATATGCATAGCTAATTCAAAAAGTGTGAGACATTAAATCAAATAAATTAAACTTCTGGCTCATTCCCTTCTTTCTTCTAGCATTAACTGATTACCTGCTCTTTGGAAAACTCCCTAAAAGCACCGGGATTGTTAAGAAAAATAAGACTGGACCATGGCACATAGAATTGTAGACTTTAGCAGTAGTCAGCATATAATGAGGATGGTAAGATACATTCTAAGAAATAAGTAAATGACAAGTAAAAAAAAGAGGTGCACAGGGAAGGTCCTAGATGAGAACAGTATGGTGTAAATTACCTGATCAAGGCTGTGCTGGCCTGGGTAAAGTGCCAGTCCCTTGAGGGGGAGGTCTTTCCAAGCCAGGCTGTGCAGTCGGCTGGATGTAGCTGTGGGAGCGCCTGGCAGGGCGGGACCAGGTCCTCAGTCAGTTGTTCCACATTGAGAGACTAGGCCTAGAATGGAAAAGATTTTCACAGTTACTTTGGGATTGTGACAAAACCACTGACAGTCCCTGGCTGGGGCCGGAATGGAAGGGGTCCTGTATGCTTGCTCCAGTGCAGGTAACCCAGTGCACAAATATGTTCTAGGCATAGAGTGTCCGGAGAGTTTCTGAGTAATCAGAGTAATACTCCATTGAAGTGAGATTCCAAGAAGCCCCTGGACTTTACCACTTATCACGGGATAAGTAAAAGCTCTTACTCCATTAAAAGGGCATTTTAACTAAGTTTTTTTGAGTATAATTTGTCAAACCCTTAAGGGAGAGACCAAATTTTAGTGGCGATAAAATGAATGAATATAGGGGGTGGTTTGGATGGAAATGGACCCAGGAGGGAAGTTGTTGATCCTTGGCACAAATAGCAACTTACAGTTGCATCCAACTGGAGAAGACAACCCCAAACCCATATTAAACAATAGATGCTTTGATGGGCAAATACTATTGAGTTTTATTTGTCCAGGAGCATTTCGTGGATTTAGATTTCTATATTGTTTGGAATTGCATATTATCTAATTCAAGCTGGAAATAAAATTCTGTGAGGAAACAATGTCACCATCTGGGGTCAAAATCATCTTAGTAATAACTGCCATTCATTAAAAGTACCAAACTTAAGGGTGCCTAGGTGACTGACTGTTGGTTAAGCAGCTGATTTCAGTTCAGGTTATGATCTCAGGGCCTTGGGATGAAGCCCTGAGCCCGGCTTCACGCTCAGCAGGGAGTCTGCTTGTCCCTCTCCTTTCCTCTGACCTTCCCCCTGCTCGTAATCTCTCTTTCAAATAAATAAAATCTTAATAAATAAAAACACTGAACTTTGCTCAACACTGTGCCAGGTGGGTTAAACACATCAAATGTAGGTCTGTTGTCCTACCTGATAAACATTATTGGACTCACTTTTCAGCTGAAGAACTTAGAATATTCTCAAATTTAAGGCGGGAAAGTAACTCTGCTGGCCTAGACCCTGGCTCTGGATTCCACTGTCACTCCTCCCAGGGTGAGGCACACCTGTGTCGCTTATTTCATTTTTCAGCTCAGTATTCAAAATGTATTTTAGGTGTTAAAAAGCACAACTTCATACCCAAAATACAGTTCTGGAATACACAGCCCAAGGAACAAGCAATAAGAATAGCAAAATCAGGGTGCAGTATGAATAAAGAAAGAGACAGTATTCAGTGACAATTACATTATCAACAAAGAAAATGTCAGTAAACCTCAAAATATCAGGGACTCACAGTATCATGTGGCTGAGCCCCTTCATTGTGGAAAGTAAATCTTTTAGAAGTGAAATTATGGAAGGGGCTAAGACTGTGATGAGAAGGAAGAGATCAGCTTGCTTTCTGTGAGAGCACACCACCAACCATGGGCCCTTACCCTTCCCAGCTTCTTCATCTCACATCACCCTGGGAATCAACCCATTCACTGCTAGCTTTGCAGTAGGGAGACTAAGCAAGTGTTTGGAAGGATGAGGTATTTCCCAGGAAGCCTTTCAAAGAAGAGACAGAAGTCAATATGAAAATTCTGAAGAATGAGGACTAAGGAGGCAAATACCCCATAATAACTAGAATCACGGGAAGACTGGCGGGTGACCCCCTTGGCAGAGCTGCCAAGATAAGCATTCCCTCACTTATTTTGGGGTCCTCAGGGCCAAGAGAGCTTTGGTCCACATGGGTGATCTTAGGCTGAAAGAAAGTGGAAACCCAGGGCCTGCTAGGAGTCAAGGTAAGGATCCTAAGAGAAGACTAGCGGCAAACCCCCAGCTGGGTCAGAGAGGGCCCCATGAAGCCTGAATCCTGATATCACATCTGGAAAGGAACAGGCAGGAGTAACTTGTGCAGGCCCTGTGTTTCCACTTTCTTTTAGCTTAAGATCACCCATGTAAACCAAAGCTCTTGTGGCCCTGAGAAACCCTAAACAAGTGAGGGCATGCTTATCTCGGCAGCTCTGCCTTGGCCTCCTAGGTCTGAGAGGGGTCGCCGACCTGTCTACCTATGATGCTAGTTACTATGGGGCTCCCATGGTTTAAGGTAAGAGACCTCAGACAAGCAAAGGAAGGAGTCTCAGGTCCTACCAGTAATGAAGAGGAGGATTCTGAGTGAGAACTTAGGGAACCCTTTTGTCTGAGACCTGAAGAGAATCACATAGAACCCTGCCTTTGCTAGAAGCCCTTGGATACCTGAGCATTGTTGACATAATGTGACATATTCACTTCCTCCTGTGGTGTCACAGGGGGATGGGAGACTTAGTCTAAGGGGTGTGGCTTAAGCAGCAACAGTGGAAAGATTTCACAGGCCAAAGTGAATACCCTGAGGACTAAAGGAGCCACACACCCCTAACAGTAGGAGAACAAAAGCATTAGTTTCTTGCAAGTGTCCAGCTTCAGGACACCAAGGACAGGTATGACCAGATAAAGAGATCCTCACTTTCTTCTAGGGGTCATAGGGTGGTAAAGACCTTGATATGAGGGGCAGGTCTAAGGGTAAGGGAGGGAGGAACTCCAGGCCATGAAAAGGGTCAGGGATCAAAGCAAGGACCAAGGGACTACCTACCACTGAACAGAGAGAGTGACCAAGAATCTGGCTGCACCCCTGGCTTCAGCCCTAAGAACTAGTGCCAGGTTATCAAGTCAAAAATCCCGCAACACTTATTTCTATCAGATTTACAGGGACTGAAATCCTTAGTTTGAAGGTACAGTTACCATTCAATGAAAGGGGTGGAGTTGCCAGGCCCTACACAGACCCAAAGTAAGGACCCTTAATGAGGATTGAGGACCACGAAGAGGCCAGGATAGAAAATTCCCCACTGAACATTCAGACCTAGACAGGAATTATAAGCTGGAAATCACTTTCACTTCCTTATTGTGGGTGCCAGGGATGCTTGTGATGTCAGCCTCAGGAGAAGAGAGGAAAAAACCCCATGACCTGCCACTAGTTGAATGCGTGTCTTCCGTAAGAGACTCCTCAACCATGAGACCGGCAGCCCCTACTGTCACCCCAGCATGCCTGAGGCAGGTCTGGCAGGAAGCAGCATAAACCTCACTCTACTTTCTTTCACAGGTTTCCCAACAGACTGGCTGATTAGGAAACGGGAGCCCTGTGGGTTTTTAGAGAAGTGCCCTCGAGGAAAACCACAAATGTAGCCTTCCTTATATACCACCAGCCAAGGTGGTGTTTTCATGCTGAAGGTGGGCACATCCCGTTAAACTTCGTCTTCCTTCAGTGGGTCCTCATTGCCTGCTCAAACTCCTGACCACTGTCCGTGATCATACTCATTATGCCTCGGAGTCAGAAGAGTAAGCACCGCACTCGTGAGAAATGCCACCAGTCTCACAGTAACTCCCAGAATCACAAGGGAGTTCAGGCCCCTGTAGCAATGGAAGAGCCCCCCACCTCCTCTTCTCCTGTTTTGGAGGGTAATACCCAAAATCTATCAGCTGTAGAGTCAATTAGCACTTCCCAGGAGTCTTGGGGTGGCCCATCTACCACCATTACCTCTTCAGATATTTCTGGTACAAGATCTGATGAGGGTGAGGACAGCCAACATAAGGAGCACCTATGTTTCCCTAAGGTCTCACCTTCTACTAAGAGCTCATGCATTGATATTCTAACTATGAAGGTGGGTTTGCTGGAACAGTTTCTTCTGTACAAATATAAAATGAAACAGCCCATTGTGAAGGAAGACATGATGAAGATTATTGGCCAAAATTACAAAAACCAATATCCTGAGATCCTTAAGAGAGCCTCTGAACGCATTGAGGTTGTCTTTGCGGTCGAATTGAAAGAAGTTGACTCAACCAGACACTCCTATGACCTGGT